TTCAAAAAGGGTCAATTAAGGAATTAGATTAATCATATAAGTTTCTTTTCAGAATGGCTTGATACATTTCTGTACATTTTAGGGAACAAGTTTTACTCAGAATTCTTTTTATTGTGGCATCCTGCTGTATTTAAAAAGAGGGCTGCCTTTAAATGGCCATGATACATAACAATCTTGTCTCTCTACAAGAAAATTAATTTTTAAAACAGTCTTAGGATTATTTCATATTTCTAAAGACATTAGTAAGACCTTTAAAATGTGCTATTTTAACTCCTTGGGAAGTCCTTAGCTTTTATCCTACAACATTGCCTCATGACATCACTTCCTCTCCTGCAGATCTGGTGTGGATTTTTCTTCGTTGTGTATTTGCCTCATTCACTGATGTGTTCTCTTCTTTACTTTCTCATTTATTGACAAATACAGTCATTTAACAACTATTCCCAACACAAAGAACCCAAAGAAATATAGGGCATTGTTATTCAACTTGGAGGAGTCATAATAAAACATTTGAATGAAACAAGTCAAAAAAACATAAGAACTGCGAGAATTCAGAAAAAAAAAATAGTTTGTTGGTTCAGTTTTATTTTCTAACTACATCATAGTGGTAATTCTATTAAGAGGCTCTGATTTCTGATAATACACATCTTAGCCTTTGCTGTAAAATGATAGAAATGCTTACAACTTAAAGAAAAAAAGAAATAAAATAGTTGCTGTTTGTTCCTACAGTTAGACTGGTATATATCATTTCAATGAAATTATCCAACAAAATGCAGTAATTTCAATGGATTGTTTTTTAGAAGAAGAACCACAGTATTGAACCAAGTTTTAAGCCATACACATCTCTGAAGTACAGGAAAACCTGTTCTCATAGGGAAGATGAAAGCCAACTCCAAATAAAGTATTGAGCTTTCAAGGGAAGCATCATTTTCTTTGCAAGCTTTCACCCAAAGTTCTCCCACGCTCCTCTTTCTCATTTTCTTTCCTAAATGCATTCTGAAAAGATAATTTAAAAGGTATTGCAGTGGGCTATCAGGAAGCATATTCACCAGTTCCTTCAATGAAATCACTGGGGAAAGGGTCCAGCTTTGAGTTCTATTAAAAGAAAAAAATTGTAATATTTCCTTGAAGCCAATCATAAACTTAGTATTTGATTTTTGTCCTTCTTTTCTTTTCCATTATACACAGTAAAAGCTGAATTTAACAACAACAACAAAATGGAACTTATAGACTCACTTATCTTAGGAAAAAAAAAAAGCTGCAGCTTATAGGATTTAGAATTTGATATAAGGTAACATTTCAAAGCTTATATGGGAAGTGGGATAGACATGGTTCACATCCAATAATTTTAAATTAAGCTTTTAGTGTAGGTAGCTGTATTTGTGGACAATATGATTTAACAAAATGCGGTATGTTCAAATCCACGTAAAGATAATTATTTGAAAAGTGAGTGTCTTTTTGTTCCTGATTTATTATTTAAACTCAATTTCATATCTCCCGCTTGTTAGTAGCCTAATGAAAATAAAATTTCATAATCCAAATATACCTTGGTCATCATTGGATAATTGATCTACCAGCAAGTTGACTTCTTCCAGAACTACAAACTACAATTTTAAGTCTTTTTACCTCAGTTTTCCCCACTCAGTAAAATGGTATACAAATTTTCATCAACTTTGTAAAGGATAACCCACTTGATTTTTTATGGCATTAAGTATCCTGTAAAATGTACCACTAAAGTAGACAGCATTATTATTTACTGTCTGGTTGCACATATTTAGATTCAGAATCATGTTCAAACTAGTTTGTCTGCTTTGTTTGACTGCAATTTTTTTTTTAAAGAAGGAAACCACAGAAATTATTTGGCTGGTGATGCTTTTTTTTTTCTTTTTTGAACTGATTAAATCAGCCCAAATCAGTCTAAAAATTCAAACTGTTAAGATATGAGGAATGTACTACTCAAGCCACAGAGTAAGGGAAACAAAACCAAGCATTCCTTCAAAAACGTGATTCTAGTCAGTGTTCGCTGATGGACTAGAAAACAAAAGAAAACAAAATGTAAGGGTGCCCCTATACCCCCATCTTTGGCATCCTTTAATATCAATGTCACTTGTTCTGATTTGTGCTGGGCAAGGAAAGACACTGTCCTTTCCACCCGGGCACGTTTGACAAGTACTGACACTCTGGGCATGCTGTACAATAAAATAAATACATTAGTAAGACCATTTCCCTTTTCATTTCATCCTAGGCATAAGAGATGGGTTACTTAAAATTCAAGTGCCAGGAAAGCCCATTGTAAAGGAAATATTTTCAAGTGAATTCCGTTTGATCTTTTTTTTATAGGGGCTCCTACAAGCCTCTCTCCCTTCCTCCCCAGACCCTGGAAACCAATTAGTCTCAGCACAGAGGCCACAGACCAGGTTGCAATGGCTCCTTTTTATTTTTAGGGGATATAATTTCAGCTAGGATGTCTAGTCGATTGTCACATAGTATACTTTGCACACTTCTCTCTCTCACACATATACATTGGATTTCCCTTCGGAGAATGCTCAGCTCTTTCAGTCTGACTCCTAGAAAGGAATTAGATCTGGTTGCTGTCCCAATCTTTCAGCAATGACAATGGCATAACATCACAGGGCCACCTCATCTTTCACAGACAACCCTGCCAACCAAGTTTTCTGAAAGCCTTCTCTCCCTTGTTTTCTGTCTTCCAGCATTTCAGCGGTATTTCCTTTCCTTGTGGTGTTTGTATACAATTCCGAAAACCTTTTCTTCCATTTTCCAAAGTAGCAGACAAAACTGGACTAACTTTGATTTTTAAAAGGCTTTTGACGTGCTTATCTTTTGGGGAAAATTTGATCCAAAAGACGAAAATGGAAACAATTAGAGTCTTTGCCTCTCCTCACCTTCCTGTCCTGAACCTGCCTTAATTCATGGAGGTGAAAAAAATGATCAGCTGGGTTGGCCTTTTCTTTCTCAGCAACATTGCAGAGAGAAAGAGGTGAGTGAGTGTGTGAGTGTGTGTGTGTGTGTCTGGCGTGTTGAAAGGCTTGGGGGAAAAGGAGCACAGCTCTCCCCCAGGAAAGCCTCAGATCAGCAGATGGGAGGGAACCTAAGGTCGCCTTCCTAGGTCTGAGTGAAGTGTCCCAGCCGCTCCCCTTACCCCCACGGTGAGCCCTGCGTCCTGGAACGGTGCCAGGACTCCTGACAGAGCCTGGCAGGTCGGTGGGTGGGGGGAGCTGGGTGTTCTCTTTGCAGAAGAACACCATTTGGGAGAAAGATCCCTTATTTTCCTGGGGCACCGTAGCCTGCCTTCCTTCCCCTATCATTTTTTACGCAGATCACACTCATGATGATGAACTTGCAGCTCAGCTTCCTGCCGCCTGCTTGACCCGGGAGCACCAGCAGGCTGCCGGGCCTCGCCCTCGGCTCCCTCCTCCTCTCGAAACCCTGGGGCTTCGGGGCACCGGTGGGGGTCCGAGTGGGCAGGGACTGCAGGAGAGGCGTGCAGGGGCGCGGGGTCCCGCCGGGGAGCGCGCACGGAGCGGCACCTCAGCCGCCCTGCTTCCTGGAGCTGTGCTCCTTTGACCCCAGTGGCAGTCCCTGTCACTGCACCGCTCGCGCTCCCTCCGGCTCGCCGCGCCCTCGCTCCCTCTCCTCGCCCCCTCGCTCGCTCTCTCCCCAGATCGAGGCTGCTCGGGTCCTTTCTCCCCCCGCCTCCCTCTAGCGCCGCGCCCCCTGGCCCCCAGCCCCAGCCTGCGGCGGGACCTCCGGGGTCGAAGGTTCTGGCCCGCCCGCGCCCCTCGCCGCCCCCGCGCGCCCCCAGCGCTCCTCCAGCCAGCTCGGGCCGCTCAGCTATGGATTGCCTGCTCGCCGGGCGCTGAAGGCATCCCCGGGACCCGGAGCGCAGCCCGGGAAAGGTAATCCGCCCCGGGAAGGGAGGCGGAGGGCGGGGGAGGGGGAGGAGGCGGCCGGGAGCCTGGTGCCGAGCGCTAGAGGAAGGGAAAAAAATGCACACACAAAGCGGAGCCCGGGTGAGAGGTGCCTTGTCAGAGGCGCGTGCGAGGGGATCGGAGGCTGCGGACCCGGGCTGCCCCGGTGCCCCTGACATCCGCACGAGCGGGCGCCTCCCGGGCAATTCGGCGCCCGGGGAGGGCTGATTTTCAACCCCTGAGCGAAAGCAAATTCTTTTTTAGGAGCTGTCTTCCCTCCCACTCCCCATTCTGCGCCTCTTCTCTTCTCCCCCACCCCCTCCAGCCATCAGCCCCCCGACCTCTGGGGGTCCCCACCTCTTCGCCCCCTCCTCCGCCGGGATTTCTGAGGAGGAAAGGAGGGGGTATCGGCGAGAAGCTGCGGCGAAAGCCGGGCGACGGAGATGGGGGTGGGGACGAGGGCTCAGCGAGCTGTTTACTAGAAAGTCCCGGGGTGATGTGTTCGAGCCGCCCCGGCCTAGGCCCGGGTGCATTGTGTTGGCCCGATCCTTGGTCTCCCGCGGCGGCCCGAGGCCAGGTGCAGTGACTAGGGGAAGGCGCCGCGCAGCTTTGTGCTCGGGCTGCACCCCGCGGCCGCCCCTGGGGCCGCCCGCGCGCGCCGCTCTCGCTCGGGGCTCTTTCTCACCCAGTCCCCGCGCCCCAACCTCACTCTCCGCCGCTGCCTGGGTCTCCGCGCTCGCAGCCTGCGGAGCGACCCGGCGACCCGAGCTGGGGTCGGGGCTAGGCGACGGGGGACGAGTAGCCAGGAAAAGTAACCGTTGCCGCCGGATTTCTTCTCTACAGAGGCAGGAGTTTCCTTGCTATTTACGTGTAACAAGGTTATCTTTGTAAAGCCTTTGAATTACGGGGTTTTGCGGCCTAGGAGGTGAAGGGGGCATTTTTCTAGAGGCTCAGGAGCGGGTTGGAATCCGTCAGCAAGAAAATAAATTAAGGATGCCCCAGTGGAGTTGATTTATAATAGTACATCACTACCCCCCTCTCACACACACACCCCAAATTAAGTGCAAATGCGAGTCGTGAAAAATGTATAATTGATTTGAGATGTTGCAAACAAACACAAACAGGTCGGGGGGAGGGGGAAACAAGCAAAAGTTTAAGTGAAAAAAGATTTCAAAAGAGGGGGAGATCCCATGGCCTCCACACCCCCTTCCAACGCTCTCTGGCTCCCTCCCTTCCTTTCTCAGCCGTTCCGGGGAAGGAACCTGGCAGCGCCCAGGCGCAGAGCAGGGAGGAGGCGGCGGCCCCGGGCTTGGGCTCCGCGCTGTGGGTTCGGGGATGCCAACGCGCCCGGGAGGCTGACGTCGGGGACGTGGGGCTGTGATGCCCGACCGAGGATGGCGTGGTGTCAGAGCCATTGGCCGCCGGTGGTCATCAATCAACCCAGAGCTAGGGAAGAGGGAGAGAAAAAAGATAGGCGTCCAGCGGAGCCCGGGGCCGCGAGCGCTAGCGCCAGCAGTGCCAGCAGGAGCGGCGGCCGCGGAGGCAACGGAGGTGGCAACGGGGGACTGAGCGAGTAAGGCGCTGGTGCTCCAGGAAGGAAGGGGAAGTTGTAGCCGGGAAGAGCCAGCCGTGAGCCTAGAAGGGCAGGGCGAGTGTGTGTGTGTGTGTGTGTGTGTGTGTGTGTGTGTGCTGATAAAGCCTCCCCCCCCCACCCCGCTCCGCGCAACTGCCCACCACCCTAGATTTAAAACAAACAAACCAATCCAAAGTAGAGAATTCCGCGCCCCCCACCGCCCCACCTTATATAGACTCCACGAGTTGCCAGAGGCTCCGTAGAAAAGTCTTGCCCTCCCTCTCCGAAAGAATGTGTCACCCGGGTGTCCGCAGTGCTGGAGACAAGTTCAGGTGTAAGTGCGGTGGGAGGGAGGGCGCTCGGTGGACAGAAGCACGTGGAACTTTATGTCAGCATCCCCCAAAAAAACCCTGGCGGAGAAGCCCGCCGGGAAGGCGTGTGGGCATCGCTCCCAGATACAGGGATGAGTAACTGGAAGTGGGCATAAAAGAGTAGGGGCGTGAGTTAAGAACGCACTGGATCGGCGCGGCAGAGGGAGGAGAGAGCGAAATTTGGCGGATTTGGAGCAGGCAAGTTCCAAAGTCCCGCCAGGCTCGGTCGGGAGATTTTGGGGCAAGTGATTAAAATGAGCATTCCTGTTGAAACGAGAAAACCGCGGGCTCTTTTCTCATAGGCTGTGCTGGGCAGTGCAGGGGTAGAGAGGTCATGAGTTGTTGCTTTGAAAGTTTTGGTAAATTGGACTTCTGGTGTCTAGGAGGTGGAGACAGTTATTTAATTCCTCAGCTTTTAATCCCTTTATTGCCAGGCGACTTTAAAAGGTTTTCCAACTAGATTCCTGGAAAAGAATATTGCTAGTTGTACAGCTTAAAGGACAGAAGCGATTGCTGTCTAGGAAATGCAAAATGTACTCACATGATTTTCTTTTTAAAGAGAAAAATCAAACTAGCACCAGTATGAATGCTTGGCAGTGTCAGTCCCTTTTAGATTTTTCTTTTGGCTTCTTGATATTTCGTCCTGGGTTCCTTTGTTTTGTGGAGCAAGTGTGTTGAAGTACAAAATGAAAATTTACGAAAAGGTTAGCGCTGTCTTTAAATATTGTGTGTGAAAAGTTAAAGTAAGTGTGAAGAGGGTGAGATGCACCAAAATCTGATCATTTGGAAGGTTTTACTGCCTAAATGCACATCTTCTTGATAGTTGTAAGCAGTGTATCATTCTGTCTTGTTTCAAACTCTCTCCACATTTCTCAGCTTATAGGAAGTGGTTTTGTCCATTGTCTCTTGTCTCAGAGTTACAAAAAAAAAAAAAAAGTCTTTTCCAGGTGTTTATGTTTAAAATTCTTAGGATATGTTCATTTTGAGATACGGGTGGGGGTGAACATAGCATTTTTAAAAATAAGCCTTTTCTTGACTTGTCTGTAAAGGTGCTGTGAAAGTTTTGAAGCTCTCTGCCTCAGTCTGACATTTTCTTCAAAGGACTCCAGATTAAAGAAGATAGACGCTGCAGGTGCACTGTTTCGATAAAACATTTGAAAGGGAACATGGCAAAGATGAATTCAAATGAGGTGCCAGCCACCCATTTAGCCTTTCAGAGTTACAGGGGCCTGTGCTTGCTGATGAAAAGATGTTCTATTTGTCTTCCTGGGGCAAAGGTGCAAAGAGGCATAGATGTTCACTGATAGAGAAGGATGACTTTAGGATCAAGCGGACCATGTAGAAGTGCAAATTGATCAGCTGCCAAGTTCTGTCTCTTCTTAGCTTCAAATAGTAGAACTTGGGTGGGTATCATGCTAACTGCTACAAGTCATTGCTTAGATGTTTAAATATTAGTTATGTATATTTTATTTCTAGGCCACATTTGCTTGGTTTAGTGTGTTTACTCCAGAAACATTTAAAATCTTTCTAGTATTGGGTGCAGAGATTGTTACTCAGAGGTCACAGTGGTCTAGACATGAATTTGATTTCCTTTGCTTCTTAATGTTCAGTATTTCACACAATAGACATTGATGGAAGAAGGAACATAAGAATTGTCAAGTAATTTTTACACCACTCTCTAATTTATGCAAACACTAAGTTCTCACAGTCTGAAAATGTGTATTTTTCCCCCTCTGTGCTTTGATGGCTAACATTCTTTTTAATGACAGTCATTTCTATAACAGGAAGATGTTTTCATTTGTATTTACTTTTCAGCGCCACGCAATTATGCAGTTTTGCGCTTCAGTAGTGTCTCGGTACTTTGTGTCTCAAAAGAGAATTACAGTACTTAGAACAGGACTGCAATTTGAAGCAGGTGTTGTGTTTTACTGTTATGCAAAATAACAGTAAAATATAATTGTGGGGGAAATTAAGGAAACAGCTGCAAACTTGGTATGAAAACTGCTACATTATGATTTGTAAGCAGTTCTTATAGATATCTTACATCAGAGGAGCAGGGAAAGATTTTAATTTAGTTAATCCTACTGGCCTGGTTGTCTGTCATCTGGTGCTTAAAAGACTCATACCTCCCATGAAGTCAGGAAAAAGAAAGAGAACCCAAAGTGACACTTTGTTTAAAATGCCAGAGCATGGGGATTCATCTCTTGGCAGTGCACTTGACATTAGGAAGGCAGGCAGGGTGGGTGTTATTTAGCTTGCTTTGCTAATATGAAGAAGGCAATGATTTGAGTAGAACACTCTGGAATTTCTTAGCCCAGCTAGCATATGGAGGACTACACAAGCCCCGGGTTGTAAAATAATAAAATAAATGGCCTATGGCAGGCCATCTGCCTTTTGCTGGATATTTAAGGTGTTTCATGCCAATTTTAAATCTAATCTTATTATTCTAAATATTTTTATTTGAAATAGCAGATAAGATTCTCAGAGCTTAATGGTGCACACGGCAAACCTATTCTGATGTGGAGCACTTAAAGTAAGAGCATGGGTTACCTAAGGGTTACCCAAGGAGCGTACTACGGATTATTCTCTACCGCACTGATCAGTTGCAACAACCTGGACATGAGAATTTGCTTCCCTCCGCCTTTGCACACCTACCATAAAAATAGGCATCTTCATTTCTCAACCCAGTGCAGCAAATAATATATTGACATTTATGAAAAAATCAGAACTAATGGAAATTTTTAAAAAACGAAACCAACTACTGAGAATTATGTTGCACCAAGAATGAGGTGGCAGATATAATGGCCGCCCTTCTTTACCGCTCCATCGGGGCTTGAAGAAGGGAGGTAATGAATGCATTCAAAGTGGTGGTCCAGACCTGGAGGTGTTTGGCTTTCCCCTGAGTGACTGGAGTGTTGAAAGAAATGACATTACATTTAACAAGAAGGATTTGCCTTACCACAAGGTTCTGGGCCAGAGAGGAATGCCAAGCATTGCCTACCTATGTATTTTGGGAGCTGCTTGTGAAAGAAAAAATATGTGTATTGTGTGGGTATTATGAGCATGTTATAGTTATACACATGTATTTGTTATAAGTACAACATTTTAAATTCTTATCTGTCATTGAGTTATATAGCTGTTTTAAACATGGAGCTTTCAAATGATTATATGACACCAACTTTGTAAAGACCAAACGTTCCAATTAGCAGGGAAGGTTTGGAAGATTCTTCACTTTGAGCACAAACCATGTATAGCCAGATGCCATGGCAACTGTGGATATGCCCCTTCCGTAATTCACGTTAAGTGCCATAATTATAATTAAAGAGGAAATCTTAGTTTGAACTCCATTGAGATGATTTGCTAGCACCCAGCAATGATGTATAGAGTGTACTATCCGCTTTGAAGTGCATGAAGGGAAGAGAGATGGGAACAGTTGTATCCACGAGCCAACAACACATATTCAGATTTTCCCTGAACTAGTTTCACATCTAGATGTTAAATTTATGTCTCTTAGAACACCCTTTTTCTCTTTGTTCTCATTTTATATACATTTTTTTTTCTTTCAGAAATGCACAGCGGTATTGATGAGTAGACCCTTGGATTCAGAGGTTGGCTGAAACGCACCATGCCTGCTTCCATCTTTTGCTCTGTAAAGTTGTGAATTGCTCATGCCTATAGGGAGGAAGGATGGCACATGGGATTCCTTCTCAAGGCAAAGTTACCATAACGGTGGATGAGTACAGCTCAAACCCCACCCAGGCATTCACGCACTACAACATCAACCAGAGCAGATTCCAGCCTCCACATGTACATATGTAAGTATCACTCATGAACTTAACAATATTAGCAATCAGGAAAAGAGAAAGAAAAAAAAGAAAAGCATTTACTCTTAACTTCTGCTAGGGAGACTAACAGGTAAATGATTTACAAATCAGATGGGTATCTGTGGTTTCAAATACAGCTCAGGAGGAATCCCATACATCTGTGTAACATTTCGAATTTTCGGAGCACTTTCAACCACAATTTGACGTTAGATTTTCAGAGCCTCTGAGGGCTGGTGGTTGGTTGCCCATATTTATAGATAAGAACAGAAAATAACAGAGAGGTTAAAGTATTTGCAATGCCACACAGCGAATTTGCCTGAGACTCCTGACACCTAGTTAAATTTGCTTTACATTGTATTGCTTGCCTCCATTCTGAAATATTTCTTTAAAATTTCTGTAGTTTTTTTTTTTTTTCCCACACCTCACCCCACTACCCCTTTACATTCAGCTGGGAAATAGGCCTAATTGGGACTAATTGTCCAGCTACTGCTAGATCCATTGTCTTGCCTGTTGCTAGTGAAACGTGTGCTGCATGCTGTAGGACTCAAACAATATGGGGAACAAAGGACTAAGGGACAGTGGAACAGTTGGTTCCAGGAACTGTACTTTTCTCTCACTCCCTAATACTATTTAAGTCATGTTGAGGTTTAAACTGTTTAAGGAACAAAGTGTGGCAGAAACCCAGAGGCAAGGATTTCGCAGCACCTGGTTGCACATCAGCTTTTTTCTGGTCCTCTGCTACAGGATGTGCTGGGCTTTCAGCAGAAGGGAGCAAAAGGTCACCATCTCTCTTGTTTATTCAAGGCCTGGTGCTCATTCTCTATGAGACCCTTCCAATGTCTAACATGAATCTTTCATAGTAGGACTAAACCTCTTTGAAAACTATTGTATAGTCAAGATAGAAAGGAGGTTAGGACTCTGTTGACTGTTTTTACCACTCCTGTAAGAATTGAACTTGGGGCATGTCCAAGTCACAGGCTTCTTTTTTAGTAATTGTTTTATGTGAGCATTTAAAAAAATAGTAGGACACCCCAAACACACACCTGCCCCCCTGGAATCTAGAAACGCTAACCAAACAAAAGGGTCTTTTCCTTGACTGCCTGGATATTAGTGTAAATACTAGGATGTTGCTTTGCAAGTATATTCTGGAGAGCGACTCAGTTACCTATGATGAGATTTCTGCAAAGCAGCCGTTCTAAAGCAACATGCTTGAGTGACAAAAAAAAAAAAAGGAAAAGACAATCATTGTAAGTGGTTACTGCTAAACTATTTGTAAGAACTTTAAACTTTCTTTAAATGAGTATATATTAATGATTATGAAGGATCGCTAACATGATTTTAAGGAAAATGTTTAAGATGAATAAAGTTTTTCTTTGTTAAAATGGCTTTTCTGAACAGTAAATATATGTTCAATTCAAATA